GTAATAGCTGGTAGGGCTGTGTGAAACTTTGCCAAGTGTTTTGTTTCGACATGTTTTGAGCTCGAAACAGCAAAACTGAAACAAGACAAAAAGCTTCAAAACAGCTTTGAAATGAAATGAGGGCACTCGAAACGTTTTGAAAGTTTTGAAACATTTTGAGTTTCGAAGCAGCCTGGTGGCGGGAGGCAGGGAAGAGCCAGGGCTGTACTACAAGTGGCTCTGCAGCCCCACGGAGATCAACCCGGCGGTGGGAGGTGGAGCACAGCCCTGGCTCTCCCCTTCTCCCACCACCGGGCTGCGCTCCAAGCGGCTCTGCAGCCCGATGGAGCTCAGCTTGGTAGTAGGAGGCAGAGTGCAGCCCTGGCTCTGCCTGCCTCCTGCTGCTGGGATGTGCTCCATGTGGCTCGTGCAGCCAATCGGAGTGCAGCCCTGGCTCTACTTGCCTCCTGCTGCCGGGCTGAGCTCAACGGGGCTGCAGAGCCACTTGGAGGGCAGCCCTGGCTCTCCCCTACCTCTTGCCACTTGACCAGGTGACAGGAGGCTGCCACTGTTGCCTGGGGCCAGCGGCAGCATCAGTCTTCCCCAGTGCTGCCTATGGGCTGTGCTCAGAGCTGGTCCCAGGTGGCAGCAGCAGCCTCCTGTCATCTGGCGCAGCTCCGGGGGCCCGCACCCCTGGGAGGAGTCTGGCACAGCCCTCCCGAGGGTGCGGGTCCCCGGATCTGCGCTGGATGACAGGAGGCTGCCACTGATGGCAAGTGTCATGAGTTTTGCTTTTTGAAGTTTGAGGTGCAGTTTCTGAGAAACCTCTTGCAGCTATTTCCTTGAAACTTGGCAGGCCTCAAGCCCTCAGAAGGGGCTACCATCCCTGCAGTTTTCATCCAAATCAGGCAAGAAATGACAAAGTTTTAGGCATTTTCATGATTCCCCATGATAGCCTATGGGCAAAACATGGAAACGTGTCAAAAGAGCAAAACAGTTTCGACGAAACAAAACGGGACAGTGCTTAGAAACAAAACAAAACGAAACGATGAAATGAAACACTGTCCCTGCAAAATGGTGAAATGGATGTCAAAATGAAACAATGGTGTTTCGCACAGCCCTAATAGTTGGAATAACTGTTGCACGGTTCTGACCAGCAAGTCACCCTTCCCCTTTCAAAACACTATAAAATAATGTCTGTTCACAACCTTCGTGTACACAAAAATCCACATTTCCAAAAATCTGAGAGCCTTAATTTAAACTTAAGCTTTGTAATTTAAATTGCCACTCCTACTACATTCTATATAACTTTTTTCACTAGAGCTTTTATGTGGGTTTTTTTTTGCTGCACTGTATTACATAGTGTGATGCAGCGTTTTCATCCTTCTTTATAATGTACAGTTGATGTCTTGCTTAATCCCTCAACCTCTCCTGTGACGATCTGAAACAATATTAATATACCAAATCAAATGAGAAGTGTTCTTTCCATATTTCTTCCTTGTTAAAAAAAATCCTTGTTCAAGAAAGCTACTTTGTATTGAATATTGCTTTTATGTAGATGTGATTCCAAAAGCAAAGACCTTATTTATTAAAACACACTTAATGTTCACCTCATAAAAGAGTAAAACACTGGATTAAATATACCTGTCCATATATTTCCAGAATTTAAATGAGGCAATCAGAAGTCAGCTGCGAGACATGAATAATTTCATAAAAAGCTGCCACTGACTGTATTATACATCTACATTGCTTTATAAAACAAAGCAAATGATTACCATCAATTATAATAACATCATTTGACAAGTCTGCAATTAATCTGCTGCTCTTCAGATAACTGTTGTTGCACGATGCCAAAGAAAATGCCATGCATAAATTGACTCATCAGCAGAGCCTGTGATAGATGGTGCTGATGGTAATGTGATAATAATTCATCTTCAGCAAAATAAATAAGTGCTTTTTTATTGGAAACAATTTCTTTTAGTTTCGTAAAAGAATGACAACAGGATACTTGAGATACCTTTTGAACATAATTCTAAAATATACCCACAGTGAGACGCAGTTCTTAATCCTTATTTTAATTATTTATTGAGGATTTCTAAAGTGCCAGTTGTGTGCTGCATAGTTCAAAGACCAGAAGCTGGTTGAAGGAGGATAAGGGTATGACCAAACTCGCACATTCTTTTTGTTAATAAAGCAACTTCAAGACTGACCCCTTTGCGCTCAATCTGGGCCATGCAAAAGTCAGCAAACTTGGAAAACTTGTTTGAAATATGCACCAAATTCAGTAATATATTTATTCAATACTAAAACATGGGCACTAACGTATCAGTGCAGGATCACTATTTATGATTTTTCTTTCCTAACTCTTTAATGTTTCTCTAGAATGTATAAGGCAGATCCACATCCTGCAAAGATTCATCTATGTAGTTAATTTTGAACCCTTTGTGTGGTCCCTCTTCAGTCAGACTTCAGTTTAGTATGCATAGGGCTAGGGCAGGGGCGGGCAATTATTTCAGGCGGAGGGCCACTTACCCAGTTTTGGCAGGCTGTCGAGGGCCGCATGGGTAGCCCCGACCCTTGACAGGTGCCCTGCCCCCTGGTCACTATGTTGGGACCAATGTCCCAATGTCTTTGGTCCCAAGACATTGGGACATTGGTCCCATGTCCCAGGGCCAGCACCGGTGGAGCCCAAAGCCGGTAGGGAAGAAGCTGGTGCTGAGTGCAGGGAAAAGCTGCCCCTCGCCCACCCCATGGCTGGTGCTCCCTGCTGCAGTTGCTCGCAGCCCACGTGGGGCTGTCTGGAGCAGGCACAGGCAGCCCCACGTGGGCCGCAAGTGGCTACAGCACGGGGGGCTGGCCATGAGGCGAGTGAGGGGCCGCTTTCCCCGCACTCAGCACCAGCTTGTAACCCAGCCCCGCTGACAGCCTGGGCTCTGTGCTGGTTCCAGGCTCGCCCGTCAGGGCTGTGCGCTGTGGCAGCAGCTGTGGCTCCCCTGCTTGCTGCACCGGGCAGTGTTGGCTGCTGTTGCCTGCCCAGAGCTCACGCACTGGGCAGCCCAGAGGTGACAGTGGCAAACACTGCCTGGTGCAGCAAGCAGGGGGCGCAGCCTGGCTTTCCAGGTGGTGCTGAGTGTGTGTGTGGGGGGAAGTGGCCCCTCACCCACCCTGTGCCTGGTGCCCTGCGCTGCAGCCACTCACAACCCACCTGGGGCTGCCTGTGCCTGCTCCAGACAGCCCCGCATGGGCTGCAAGTGACTGCAGCAGGGAGTGCCGGCCACAGGGGCAGGGGAGGGCCGCTTTCCTCCGCACCAGGAAGGAGCAGGGAAGGAGCCCAGGGAAAAGCTGAGCATGGGGGGGGGGGAGAGTGGCCCCCTCCCCTCCCCCATGGCCGGCTTTCCTGCTCCAGCCACTCGCAGCCCATGCGGGGCTGTCTGGAGCAGGCACAGGCAGCCCCAGGTGGGCTGTGAGCAGCTGCAGTGTGGGGCGCCAGACACTGGGCAGGCAAGGGGCTGCTTCCCGCCCCCCCACGCTCAGCTTTTCCCCGGGCCACTTTTCCACGGGCTCCTTCCCTGCCGGGGGTCCTACCCTGAGCTTCCCCCACTCCTTCCCCCTTACCTGCAGTTCCGGTGTGGGGCAGCCATGTTGTCCCAAGCCAGAAGCCCCGGCTGGGGCTTCCAGCTGGGGGAGTGGGGCCGGGCAGACCCGGCTATTGTGGGAGCCTGCAGGGCATCCCCTGGGTCCTACTGCCCAGCCTACTGCTCATTTTTTACAGGAACCAAGGGCAGAGAAATATTAATTTTCTACATCTTTAGGGGCCCCACAGGCCAGATAGAATGGCCTCATGGGCTGCATCTTGTCCACGGGCCATATTTTGCCCACCCCTGGGCTAGGAAGTCTTTGCAGAATCACAGCAGTAATATACTATTATATATTAGTAGTATACTGGATAAAATATCACACACCAGAGCATTATGCAAGTAGAACTTCTACAGAAACAATAGTCACCTTTGTCATTACTTCCTAGTTAATTTTGGAAATATAAAATCAGCTTTAAGTTGACAAGTGGTGGAATGGACTAACTTAATGAAGCTCTGCTTGTCATGGTTAACCATGCGACTGGATATGTATAGCATTCCCATCCTTTCCATGTAGCTGGAGCTGGTAACAATCTTAGAGATGTATTCTGCACTGAGCTCTGTTTCTGAGTCATTCCTAGTTTACAGCAGTCTTTATGCCAGTGACTGTAAAATGCCTTTTGTACTTAAGTGGATGCAAAATATTGTGTTTCACTTTCAGAATCATCTGACAGCTATTTTACATTCTACTAAAGTTTATCTGCAAATCCCAGCCCAAGAAAATTGTGCCCAAAATGCACTGAAATTCATTGGGATTTAGGCACCAAGGATGAGAGCCTTTCTGAAGTCTATAGCAAAACTCTCCGAACTTCAGCAGGGCCAAGATTTTACCTCTCGTTCCACTTTCAAATCAAATATCATGTTGCACTATGGAGCTTCAAAAGGGGAGTAGCGTGCAGCTTGATAAAATTATTTCTACATGCACTGCACAGACACAGCACTTTCACCGTAATGTGGTATGTGAGACGTAGTTAGCTGTGTTAGTCTGAAGTCAGGAAGAAGGCAGGGCAGTGTGGCATCCTTTAGATTCACTTGTTAGGAGGCATGAGCTTTTGTAGGCTAATGGCTTGCTTAATCAGATGCTAGGATATTTCACAGATTAGCTGTGCTCTTTATGTCAGCTGCTTTCATACCATCTGATGAAGTAGGCTGCAACCTGCAAAAGCTCATGCCTCCCTGAACAAGTTAAGGTGCCACATTGCCCTGCTTCTGTAATGTGCTATGATGCACTTAAATATGGTGCAATGCAGAGTAAAAATAGTTCTTTTCAAAATGGAGAAAAAAAAATCATTTTTCATGGAGACCAATTAGTTTGCACCTTCCCTGAGAAGTGGAAAACAGGTGTTTCACACTGGCTCATTTTTAAGTCCAAATACTGTCACATACCTCGCCAGAGAAAGCTTGTCCATTAAGTAGGTGCTCTGATCCCTGGCTGTCTTCACTTCCAAAGTGTAACCGGATCTCTTCCAAGCGGTGACTGTATGTCATGGGCCCTCCAGAAATATTGACCAAGTGCTCTTTGTCTAATCGTAGAGAAACGTGTCTCCCTGTGTTATACATTGTCCCACTGACCTAAACAAAAAGAACAAATAAAGACTTTTTTCCAGATCCAGAAGTGAGTCAGAAAATAATATCACAGACAGAGCTTTTGCTTTTTAAGCACCTCCCGATTGATCTAGTAATACATCTTTAAAAGCTGGGAGACAAAATATACAACCTGATGGTATACTTCCAGTTCTGCTTTTAAATATTATAATATATATTCAAATATTTTGCTAAATCCATATGTACATAGTTTAGCCATGGGCATGTGGCTAATACAATGAATGTGATTATGCTTCTTCCAAATAAGTATGCATATAAAACATTCTTTATGCTAGACCTGAATAATGACTTCATTACAGAGTTTCTACACTGCAAAATGGGAATGTTTCAATGGATGTATAAATAATTTAAGCATATTTAAACAAATCTGAAACTTAACTCATTTTTTCTTCCTGAAAAATTTATAACCAACTTATCTGAAAAAAGAGGTGCTACAAAACCAGGAATATAAAATTCATACAAATGGAGCTGGCTTTTGCTCCCACTGGAGTCCATTCTCATTGTCCTCTGTTACAGGGTTCACTGTTTTACTTTTTAACTTCCAGAAAAATAAGCCACATTTTGTTTAGTTTATCATATATTCCCAATCCTCCCATTCCTCTAGAAGTTGCAATGTGCTCTTAGCATTATTATTTTGTGTTTGTTTTAAGTACTGGAAGTTATCCTCATTTGGAAAATAATACAAGCTCAATACTTGTTTATAATGTACATAAATAACCAGTTGGGGTACAGTAGGAGAAAAAAGAAATATAGTGCTGAAACCTTTCATATTAAATAAGGATAAAATTACTGTAAAATTATTAAGTATGAAAAATAATGTAAGAATTTATTTGGATTTATACTACTACAAGGAAAAATATATCAGTTTGTGTGTGAAATGGAACTGTTGTTTATTTGGCATGGATACAAATGGTACATTTGAACAACATTTAATTTATTTTAATCGGAAGGAAGTCTAGCAATAGTATGCTTTGTTGCACTTTAATTTAAAATTAAGGGCTTGACAATTATGTATTATATCCTATAGTATACTGGTACTGTAATAATCAACACTGGTGCAGATTTTATTTATAATGCTAATTACTGAGCTTAAATGATCTGTTTTGTTGCCCAGTCTGTGCTGCTTTGGCTTATTTTCTAAGTAGGCAGGAGTACTTTTTTGCTGCCCTCCGCTGTTAACTTTTCAAACTCCTCCATATAACCAAGAGGATTAGATTAATCACTCTTGCTTACTGTTGATAATGCAAGAATGAAACAAAAGTGAAAAACTTGAAAACCAAGCACATGACCCATTTTTCAAAGCCTTTTTATCACACACTGGGGACTGGCAGCTAGCACCTTGAGAGAATTTCACTTTCCTTGTTTTAATGCACATGGATTTGTGACTGCCATCTTTTCTATTGATATTCTCAGCTGCTTGGCTCTCTGCTGAAATTAAAGCAAGACTCATCAGCTGCAACTGAGCCATTGCAGAATGCAATTATGTCTTTATAAGCTTTAGGTTTCAAAAAACCGTGCTCTCTGATTGTGACATATATGGGAAAGATTAACAGAATCCTGAGTACAATTAATAGGTTTGGAAAATGTGGCCAACATTTATTTTTGCACAGAAACTCTAACATAGGCCTTTGCACATGTTCCAGGCTTCAGCTTCCTGGCCAGCACTTCGATATTTATTTGAATTTTGGTTCCCATGATTCTCACAAGGCTTCAGCCATTGATAACAGGAATAAAAAAGCCCCAAAGACTTCTGAAATACATAAATCACATTAATTCAACTTCCCCATCTTATTTTACATATGAGTTTTGGGACGAGGATGACATCCAAGATTCCCTGAGCCTTTCTTGGGAAGTGTGGCATATAAGTCTAATAATAAATATAGTGGTTTATATCATCCTAGTGCTGCAGTGAGGCCACAAAAATACCACTTTGAACGATGCTGAAAAATATCATTCTTTCAAAGAACGTGTGTTGTACAGGACCGAACCCCACCCCACAAAGTGCTCTCTTTTTAAGTTCCCATATTCTCTTCTGAACTCTGCTGTGTTTGACTTTCATATTTGTCCCACTGTCGTAGCCTTGGCCTCTCAAATTACTGAGTGAGACTCTCATTTCTTTTATATGTTCAGGTGAGTCCCGTGCCATTTCAGTGTTAGTAGAACCTGTCATCCAATGAAAAATTCTTTGCTTTTTAATGCTGCCTTCGTGCTTCAGTTGTTGCTTCTACAGAAACAAATCTAACAATCAGCAATTACTGTCATGTGCTCTTCCTTACTCGTGTTTTTGGGGCGGTCGAGTATAACACAAAAATACTCGGCAGCTTTCAAGGCAGACATAATTCCCTACTTATTCACGTTCCCCAAAACTAGAACAGTTTTATTTTGAATATTTTTTTGATAGATGAAAGTTTCATGAATTTCCCTGGAGGTAATGCGCTGAAGATTTTTCCTTCATTTCAAAGTCGCTTTTCCCAAGGAACTATACGATTTTAAAAGTGTTCACCTGTGGAATGAATGTCCCTAGAGTTCATTTGTACGGACCCAGCATTGCATAGAAAATGACAAGTCTTTCATTGACTGCTGATCGTTTGGCAGGATCTGTCAACGGTCAGACTGTCCTCAGAAGATTTCTGTGTACTCCTTCAATAACGCGGCAGTTGCATTAAGTTAGTTTTACTCCAAGGCATATTCACATCCACAGACGGAACTGCCTCATTGGGGAGAACATTTTCTTGTTCTTTTCTTTCAGATCTATCTGCTTTAGAAATACTGGTATTTTGGTTGGATGAATGTTCATGACTCGATTCTGATGTATCAGTTGGAAAGAAAATAACTGATTTGTGAACTCTTAAAAGTCCTTGACTTGACTTCACAATTGGCTTCTCCTTTCCTTTTTTTTTAAAATAAAATCTCCAGAAAGATGTTTTCATTTTTGTAAAAGATCATCACTTTCAGACATGGTGATTTACACTGTCACTGAAGAGCACTAGCTGATTAACATATGTTTGGGTACCTGTGCATGCATCTACACATTCATTAATGTGCAGTGGTTATTGGACATTTAATTTAGTACTTGTAGAAACAAGTACTAAATGAATGTGTGGTAACCAGAGTTACTGTGCAGTAGCACTAGCGAACGCCTTTTTAGTGACGCTACTGCGCAGTAGCCTAATTATACTGTGCAGTAGCACATTAGCACTGTCCATGCTGTAACACACTACTGCGCAGCATTATTAGGTTACTGCGCAGTTAGTGTCTCGTGTGGACACCCCCAGTGTAGACGAGGAACTTCCAAACGATCAAGGAAAATTGACTTATCCACAAAGAAAGTGTCTTCTGCTGTGTCACATCTTTGCCAACTTTAACAGAAAACAATTTTTCCTAGTGAATAGTAAAGGCTGCATATTTGTCACTTCTAATATCTCCCTAGGGTAGACAGCTACTTACTCTGCCTACCTCTAAAGCTGGCCCACTGCACTATAGGTATAAGGAGCTAGATTACATGTACGGTGCAGTAGAACCAATGGATGAAATTACAGTAAAAGTTGTTATCTGGCATCCCCCGGGAATGGGGGATGCTGGTTAATCAAATATTCCGGTTAATCAAATGTGCACCGTCTGGTGCACTCCCCAGCGTCAGTGTGCCGGGGGACAGGAAGGGGGCCCCTGCGCAGGTTGCTTTGCCCTGGGCCATGGGCTGAAGAAGTGGCAAGAGCTCTGCTCGTGGTGGCGGCGAAACCCGGAAGTGGTACTTCCGGTTTCATTTTTGCCGTGTCCCTCAGATGCCATTTAATAGAGTTTGCTGGCTAATAAGGTGCCGGTTAACACAGCTTTTGCTTTAAATAGTTTTTTATTTTGATACAGATGTTTTACTGGGGCTTTTTATTTTATTCAAAGTGAGGAAAAAATATTTCTTATGCAAAGCAGAAAATATGATTATCCCTATTTAATTCAGGTAAAACATTATCAGAATATTTTGTATATGCTCTTTAGTTTTCTGCCTTGACTTTACATGTGCAATAATTAAATATCAAGTTTAGTTTAATTGATGGAAACAGGTTAGTTTTATCCAATTACACTATGCTGCATATGAATGACACAAAAAAGCTAATCATAAGTAGCAAGTGCCATTTGAAACACGTAAGGAAAAAAATGGTTTAAAGTCACTTTGCTCACTATTTTGGAAACTCACACTGTGTTGAACATTCAGTTACTTTTAGCAACTGCAAAATATTCAGAAACAATTTTCTTACCCTGCTTGATACAAATATTTCATTTGGTTACCGCCATTCTCTCTCATCCTCTTAAAAATGCAGTGTTTATACTGAGCCTATATTCAGCACGTTGGGACAGCAGTTCTTTTTGTGTACTGGAGGTGACGAAGGTGAGTAGCACAGCAAATGACACCCTCTCCAACCATTGCCATGTCTGACAAACTCTTTCTAGCCCAGTGGGGGTCATAGTTTCTGGCAGGTGTGCCACAAATTAGCCTAGACAACCCCCCTGAGTGAGTTGATCGTGTGTATTAAGTTATGTAGCACCACTGGATGATGATGTTTTTGACAGAGTAGATTCATGTACTTTGAATTCTCGTGCTCTGGGTGGCACTGTTCTAGACAGAAAATATATCTACTGAATTTTAATTTAGCTTGAATTACATAGCTTTAATTTAAATACCCCAAAAGCTTAAATATTTAACCTTAAATAAATACACGCATTTAAAAGTTTAAATATTTAAGATTTAAATAGTTAGCTTTAATAGCATAGTTTTAATTTAGCTATAACTTATATTATATATATATATATAGAGAGAGAGATACATATAGATATATATATGTGTGTGTGTGTGTATATGTGTGTGTGTGTGTGAATGTATATAACGTAAATTAACACTTCCCTCTCTGTAAAGAATAAAATGTATTTGTTTGGTTGGGGGGGAGGGGGAAGGAGATGGCCATCCCACCATT